TGTTTCTTTGAGGCTCTAGAAACACTGAGTGGCCGGCAGTTGTCTTCCCGGGACCTGGGAGGGCCAACCTTGATGAGCATCTGGATTTTATTTCTGCAAGGAGGCACGCATGTTATGTGTTGAAGGTTTTTGTTTTTTGGTTTTCACATAAAGCACATTGCAGGACCACTTTCTTCCCTCCCTCCGCCTCATTTTGTTTCCTCTCCTTTTTACCCCTCCTGTCTCTCCACTCTCTCTCTTTTCCTTCTGGAAAGTGCTAGACTTTTCCTGCTTCTGCCTCTGGTGGGCCCGACCTTTCCAGAGCAGGTGGAAGTTGCTGTGTTTCTTCTGAGCCAGGGATTTGTTGCAACCATTAATAATAATAATAACAATAATGGTCACCAGAGGACAATGATCTCCAGTTCCGTGGCCCTGGACAGGTGTTGCCTGATACCTCCCTGCCCTCTGTACCAAGCTGGGTTTGGAGGGTTGGGTGGGGAGGGGGGAGCGGGGGGAGGAAGCCCCGGATGGGGTGGGAGGGGGAGGCAGGAGGAGAGGTAGCTTGGGACACAGACCGTGTTTAGCTGCCTTGGCATTTGGGAGCTGCAAGGGAACCCAGCACCCCCAGAGCTGTCCTGGGTCCCAGGAGCCGCACTGAAACCGTCAGGGGGAGGGCAGTAACTCACTGCCCCACCGACTGGCAGCCAGGCCGGCCGCCAGGGCCTCCGTGAAAGGTTGAGGACGGCTTGCCTTGCTCAGATGTTTGCCCTGGAAGGGATCAGCCCTCACCTCGCCTCTGCCAGGGGCTGCAAGGATTGCGTGAGGTAGTGTGGATGGAAAAGTTCTGCAGAGATTAAAAAAAAAAAAAGAAGAAGCCTCAGAAGTGAAAGACAGCGATGATATCAAGTTTAAAGAGGGGTGTGCCGCCAACCACAAAGAGGCTACAGAGCAGGAATTTCTTCCCGGGGCACTCGGTGGCCCTCCCACCGCCCTCCCTCCAGCGCAGGCGGAAGCTGTGTTTATTTAAGGGTCCAGTTAAAAAAAAGCCGCACCCCTCCACTGCGGTGTCCGAGAGCCCCATGGGGGCTTCCTGACTCTCCCCTAATGTCGAGGATGTTACGATAAAGCCTCCGAGGCGCGGCGGGCCTCTCTTGCCAGACTGTTCCTTGAAATTCCAAGGGGTGTGTTTCTCCGCGGGAGGGTTGGGGAGGGTGGAACCTAGAGTGAAAGTTGCTCAGTCCTGTCTGACTCTTTGCGACCCCCTGGACTGTAGCCCACCAGGCTCCTCTGTCCGTGGAATTCTCCAGGCAGGAATACCAGAGTGGGTTGCCATTTCCTTCTCCAAATCAGCGGTGGAGAGAGGAGGGTGGAACCTAGAAGGGAGGCTTAAAGGAGCCCCAGGAGGCCGGCCAGTGCCTGGGTCCAGGGATGCTCAGGGACACTGGACCGCAGAAGCTGTCCCCGCCTCATCACCTGGGGGTGCCTCCTGCAGCTCCCCACGCAGTCTGCCCTGCCCTTCCCAAGGCCACAGGTGGGGCCCAGTGCCCAGGAGTGGGGTGAATACAAGTGAGATCCGCTAGGGTTTTGTTCAGCTTTTTTTTTGTCTCAGTACACCCCACCCCCAGCACCAGAATAAAGTAAAAAGAACCAGCGGAATGTAGCTGATAAAATGGTGATGTGGCGGGGGAGGTAAGGGGTGATTTGCCTCCTTGCCTGAGACCCCATCTTCGGAAGTCAGTGTGGCTTCTTCCGTTCCATTAGGGTCTTTGCTCAAATGCCCCCTTCTCAGAGAGCCCTGCCTCAGCACTGTGTCTGGAGGAGCCCTCCCGCTTTGCGTTTCGTGATGAGGTGCTGGAAGAAAGCCTGACACAGGGCCCGAGCCAAGTACTTGTAACAGTTGGGCTGTGTCACTGTGGCAGTGATTTATTTCTCTAATCAACATTATCCCAACCAGCCCTCGGTTTTATAGTATATTGTGAGTTTATTGTCTGTGTCTGGAAGGACAGGGGACTTGGCTCTTTTGAATCGCCAGGACCTAGACTGGTTCTGGTATGCAGCTGATACTTAATAAAAATTTGCCAAATACCTGAAGGCAGGCAGGCTTCCTGGAGGAAGCAGCAAAATTCTTATCTTGACAGTAAAGAGGGCCTGTGCGTTCTCAGCACGACCAGCAATAAAGTGAGGTCGTGAGCATTCTCAAACTTCTACAGGGGAGTGTCTCAGCTTCAACACTGCTGGCCTTTGCCCGGATCACTCTGTGGTGGGGGCCGCCCTGTGTTGTTGGGTGTTCAGCGGCATCCCTGGCTTTTCCCCAGTAGATGCCCACACCCCCCTCTCCCCCACCCCACACACAAAGCGCCCGCTGCCAAATGTCCCCTGGGGAGCAGTCACCCCAGCTGAAAGCCACTGTTCTCAGTTAAAACCAGGGTCTCTCCCGGCTGCACCTGACCGATCGCCGCCCACCCCCGTCAAAGCAGCAGCCCCCAGTGGATGAAGGTGGCCGCATCTCTGCTGGAATGAAGTGGTTCCCTTTCCACATCCTTCCCCCACTTCTGCCTCAATCACATTGTAAAAAGAAGCGAGACAAAGGAAGAAACACCAGCTGAGGCACATGCTTTCCAGGGGAAACTCGTCTTATGGCCATGGTGGTGCCTCAGATGTCAGCGGGAGACGTAGGATGAGAAATAATTGAAGCTTATGAACAAAGAGCTGCGACTGCGTGGCCCTCGGCACGTGGCACGGACGCCAGCTGTCGCTGGGGGTGGGGCGGGGCTGGCCAGCCACTCCAAGGCCCCTCTGTCCCCAGGGGTCGTCCATCTGCCGCGTCCTCAGCCTTGACCCCTCAGCGGGATGCTCTCTTGATGCCCCTCCCGGCGACATCGCAGATGAGAGCCCGCTGCCCCTAGGATTCTCCGGGGGAACCTAAGAACTTCAACGAGGGCGGCTCGCTCAGCACCACGAGGCTTTTTTTCCTTCCATGTTAAAACAAGTTTAAAGGAGGTGTCAGCATCTTTATTAAAGTGCACCATCAGGGAACTCTATTCCATATCCTGTGATAAATCGTAATGGGAAAGAATATGAAAAAGAGTGTGTGTATATGTTAAACTGAGTCGCTTTGCTGTACAAGAGAAATTAACATTGTAAATCAACTCTGCTTCAGTTTTAAAAAGTGTCTTATGAGGGGCATTGGAAATAAATGATTAGGACAATAGAAATATATTGGAGAAGTCAGAGGATGTGAGAGGAAGGCTTTATGTTTCACTTTTTACCTTTAGTTGGACAGAAATAATGAAGTTAAATACCCGAATCATTTCTCTTTCTGATCCCTGACGAGCAAGAAGGTGTGTATGTGTGTATTTATGCAAGATACCGCTAGGCATCGCTTTTGTGAGATTCCCCTCTGAAACTTACCCAAGAAAACAGGTTTAGTATTTGCTTATAAATAGATGCATTCCTTGATTGGATGGTTAAGCCTTCTCCTCTCCCCTATGAGATCACACATTTTATTTATTTATTTATTTAATCCACTAAGTTGGCTATTTTTATTATTTTTTCTTTTTAACAGCTTTATTGATGTTCACCCAAAGTGTACCATTATGTTTAGTATATTGCATCGTTATTTTAAAATTATGGTATAATATATACATAACATTAAATCTGCCATTTTACCCATTTAAAATGTATAACTCAGTGGCATTAATTGCATTCACAGTGCTGTGCAGTCATCACCACCATCCATCTCCAGAACTTCATCATCCCAAACAGGAACCCTGTAACCATTTAGCAGTAGCTCCCCGTTCCTTCTTCCCAGCCCCTGAAAGTGAAAAAGTGAAAGTGTTAGTCGCTCAGTCATGTCTAGCTCTTTGCAACCCCTTGGACTGTAGCCCACCAGGCTCCTCTGTCCATGGGATTCTCCAGGCAAGAATACTGGAGTGGGTTGCCATTCCCTTCCCCAGGGGATCTTCCCGGCCCAGGGATCGAACCCAGGACTAACTGCACTGCAGGCAGATTCTTTACCCTCTGAGCCCCCAGGGAAACGCTGGTAAGCCCTAGTTTCTGTCTCTTAAGTTTGCCTATTCTCGGCATTTCATGTAAGTGGGATTATACAGTACGTGTCATTTTGAGGGACACACGTTTTAAATGGAAACTTCCATTTGTTTGGAACTATTTTGCCTGGTCTTCAGAAAATATCTGCTGTTTCCGTGCCATTGAGATGATTCTCTTCACCTTCCCTTAGGGTTTTAGGGGTCCCTTTGATGTCTTTGGAAGACAGACTCACAGCCCCATTGTAGATTCACTTGTTTGCTCTTCACTGAACTGTAAGCTCCAGAAGAGCTAGAATTTGGTAGTTTACCAAGTATCCAGAAAGTTGACAGTCAATAAATATTTGTTCAGTAAACAATGGGGATCAAAATCAAGACTTTGCACAGCTAATGCAAAGAAGAGTCAAAATAACTGGTGATGGACAAAGCAGAAGGGTGACGTGATTTAAGGCCAGCTGGGCATAACCTCAGATGTGCCATGTCCTCTAGGACTCTCACTTTCCTCCTTTCGAGATGCTTCTGTTTGCCTCTCATCCTTGTTTGATCTGCTGAGAAACCGGAAGACGCTGAATTCCTGAAAATTGCTGACCTTGGTTCCTGTACTGAGGCCGCCAGTGGGTGGACCTGCCATCCAGGCTTCTTTTGACGGTTCAGGAACTGAGTCCCTTCTGCCCTCTGCCCTGCGGTGAGAGGAGAGGGGGGTTTTGGTGTTTGACCTGCTCTTGCCCAGTGTGTGTTTTTCCTATTTCTGGGATCAGCACGGTCGCCTCCGATCCCAATTGTTGTCATCCCCAAAGTTCTGCAGCTAGAGAGCTTGTGACCTTGCTCACGACTCCTCCCGGCCTGACAGCTGGGTCTGGCCCAGGCAGCCCGTGCTCTCGGTGGATACGAGCAGGTTGCCTGGGTCCCCGGGAGCTGGAGGGACTGGAGGATGAAGGCAGAGGAGGTGCTATAGTGATGCCCCGCTTCTCGTTTCAGGGTGCAGCGGAAGACCCGCAGACGGCCCTGGCACTGAACTTGGACCCTGCGCTGACGAAGAAGTCCGACACGGAGGGTGCCAGGATGCTCTTCCCCGAGAGCGAACTTTCCATTCGGATAGGTAGAGCTGGGCTTCTTTCAGGCAAGCTCCCTGCTGCAGACCGCGGGCGGAGTCAGACAGGAGAGACCGGAAGCGGGGCGGGAGGGGTGGCCGGGATGTGCCAGCTGCTCCGTCCCGTCTTTGCCAGGCGCCCACCTCGCTGTCGCCCGGGGCTGAGCTGGCATCTGGCCACGCGCCTCCCCTCCACATTGGTTCTCCAAACCACTGCTTAGAGCACAGTATGTAATAGAACCTTTGGCTGTTTCCCAGAGTTGGACAAGTGGGCCCGTGGGCTGCTCTGGTGGGACTGGGCGGATTCAGGTTGCAGCGGACAGACCTCTGTCCCTCTGTCTCACCTTCTCTGATGGCCCCTGGACCTTCCTTTCCATTGACGTGACTTTCATCTTTCTGGTTCATCTGGGGAATTTTGGGTCTCGTTTTCACTGATTCAGCCTGGAGCCTGGAAACCGAAGAACACTGATGGCAAAGGCATGCATTTTCTCTTAAGCTAGACTGAGTGCGCCCTCTCGAGAGGAATCAGGGCGGGAGGTGGGGGGGCGCAATTCTGAATCTCCATGGGGGCAGTGCAGGCTGGGTCGGTGCCCCCTGAGGAGTTGAGAGATGATGCTGGTCTCCGGCCTCAGTGTAGACTTCCCCTTCCTTGCCCAGTCGTGGCTCACTTGGAGTTGGCTACTCTCAGTACCAGTTGGCACCAGGAGAGGTGGCGTCCTTTCTTTTCCTTTGCCTTTATGTAAGTCCCGTGTCACTGTGAAACGTTGTCCCTTCCTTTCCCTCCACTTCTGTAAATCTCAGACTCAGGAACTAAATAAACCAGGCAGAGGAGGCTGAAAGCGGCCGCCCTGTCTTTTGCTTGGAGTTCTTCTCTCTTGGGTGAATCGAGGAGAGAGACTGGTGACTGGCAACCGTCTTCACCTTTGTGATTTAAGGGAGCCAGTCCTCTCACGTTTCCAGGCTGGCGTTTTAATTTGATCAGTGCACGCGGTGTCTCTGAAATGATCCATAGACCTCGGGAGTGGAGATCCTGTAACCTACACGAGTTACAGCCATGCCTCAGCCAGTTCTCAGTTATCTGTGCTCAGATTATGTCCTGCAAGAATTATTCATGGGGAACTTGAACACCTCCTCCACTCGGGTTGAAGCTCATGGCCCCCCACCTCTTCCGATGTGGGATTTAATCGGGAAGTGAAAATTCATCCAACGGGAGCTCAAGTAACAGAGGGTTAGCTCGAAAACTCTGCCCGCCGCATCCAGTCGCACGCGTTCTCAAGTCAGTTCCACTTGCGCGTGGTCTGCCTTCTTCCTTTTCCTGGAGAGTCGAGAGCTGTCTGGTGACAAGGGTGGGGCACCGTCCTCCAGTTAAGACGGTCACTTTTCATGCCGAGTTGTGGGGACTCGGGGACAGAAGGCTTTCTGCCAGTTCTCCCCAGTTCTTGCATGTTGGATCTCCTGTGATTCCCAATGAAGACTTTATGGTCCTGACTCTGAGCCGTCTCTAGGGTGAAGGAGTTTGCCAGATCCTCAGTTAAGTTCAGTTCAGTCGTTCAGTCATGCCTGACTCTTTGCGACTCCATGAACTGCAGAACACCAGGGGCCTCCCGGTCCATCACCAACCCCCGGAGTCCACCCAAACCCATGTCCATTGAGTCGGTGATGCCATCCAACCATCTCATCCTCTGTCGTCCCCTTCTCCTCCTGCCCTCAATCTTTCCCAGCATCAGGGTCTTTTCCAATGAGTCAGCTCTTCGCATCAGGTGGCCAAAGTATTGGAGTTTCAGCTTCAACATCAGTCCTTCCAATGAACACCCAGGACTGATCTCCTTGCAGACTGGTTGGATCTCCTTGCAGTCAAAGGAACTCTCCAGAGTCTTCTCCAACACCACAGTTCAAAAGCATGTCAATTCTTCGGTGCTCAGCTTTTTTATAGTCCAACTCTCACATCCATACATGACCACTGGAAAAATCATAGGCTTGACTAGATGGACTTTTGTTGACAAAATAATGTCTCTGCTTTTTAATATGCTGGCTAGGTTGGTCATAACTTTACTTCCAAGGAGTAAGCATCTTTTAATTTCATGGCTGCAATCACCATCTGCAGTGATTTTGGAGCCCAGAAAAATAAAGTCAGTCACTGTTTCCCCAGATCTTATTGTCTCCCATTTTTTCAATCTTCAAGGCCACAGGGGAAAGGTTCAATGCCTGTCAATCAAAAAAGTAAAAAAGGGCATATACCTCTGGCTGATTCATGTTGGTGTGTAGCAGAAACCAACACCATATTGCAAAGCAGTTATCCTGCAATTAAAATAAATTAGTTAAAAAGAAGTGTTGGCAATACCATCTTCAAGCTCATTGTCAACTTGTAAATCATTAGCGAATAAACTATGACTTAATTGAAGCAAAAAAAAGAAAGAAAAAAGGTAAAAAGAGATCCCTTTGACATGAACCTTTTCCAGTGGGACCACGAGAATACAGGGCCAGTGGCACTGATCTTGGGTGGCCTGCAGTGGCTTGGAAGCAGGGTTTCAGTTCCCGGTCAGACACCAGGGTCAGGCCCCGGCGGTGAGAGCCCCGAATCCTGGCCACTGGACCAGTGATCAGTGACGAGGCCTGGGCCCTTCAGCTTTGCAGAAAAGAAGCCCACAAAGACGGAAATTAGTGAAACCAGTAAAGTGTTTGTTCGGAGGAAGAGAGTGCAGTACGTGTGGACGGAGGCGCGGGCAGACTCAGAGAGACTCATGCCCTCGTGGTAGTTTAAATCTCTTCCGCGGGGCGTCTCTTCCGGGTTCTCTCTGGCCAGGCATCCTGCTCCGCCCAGGTCTTCCAGGTTCTCTCTGGCCAGGCATCCTGCTCCGCCCAGGTCTTCCGGGTTCTCTCTGGCCAGGCATCCTGCTCCGCCCAGGTCTGAGTCTGTGTTCGGTTTATCTCAGCGTCCTCCCTCGTGGCTTCCCCGGTGGCTCAGCGGGTAAAGAATCCACCTGCAGTGTGGGAGACCCAGGTTCGATCCCTGGGCTGGGAAGATCTCCTGGAGGAGGAAATGGCAACCCACTCCAGTATTCTTGCCGGGGTCATCCCTTGGACAGAGGAATCTGGTGGGCTACATACAGCCCATCGGGTCGCAAAGACACGACTGAGCGCCCTTCCTTTCAGGGTCCTCCTGCCTCAGGAGTTGACTTTGCTGGAAAGTCCAGGACGGGGTAGCGAGCAGAGGCTGCGTGGGAGGCAATGCCATCCTGTCCTCTGCTCAGAAGCACCTAGGCAGAGCCCGTTTCCAGGTTACCAGGCAACCCTCGGTCGCTGTTGCTAGCCTTTCGGATCCGAGGGCTAACGCAGCCCGCGGGGGTTTGGGGGGAGTGTAGAGATGGTTTGCAGAGCCCGAGGGAACCCAGCCACCTCCGGAAAGGTTGTTCCTCTTCTCGCCTGGGCACACCTGTGCGTGTCAGGCGGCCAAGGACTGGAAACTTGATAATGGCTATTTGATGACTGGCCGCGTGCAGATCATGCCTTATTTGTACCATCTGGATCTGCCTTTAAGCTTGCTGTAAATGGAGCCCGGAGGTTGGTTTAATGGGTGTTTAGTGAATAACATCAGCCTCTAAAAGATAATATTGGCACTGCTATTGTAATGTCCTGTAATTGGTTCAACAAGAGGAAAAGCCAGAAGGGCCACTCTGCGAGACAGGGGTTCAGCTGCCCCGAGTCTCAGCAGCGGCCCTCGCCGGGGAAAGCATTTATGGGTTTACGATGCTTTCCTGTGTATGTCTAGGTGCCAAATGTTTTACAATATCAACTGTTCTCAGGGCTGGGGATAGTCTGGGTCACAGCTAGACCAGAAGTTCTTATAAATCAGTCTCTGTCTCTCCCCCCTCCTCCCCACCCCAACTATGTACCTATCTCCGGCCAACTTTCTTTTAATTAGGAAAATAATGACACGGGTTACAACTGAAAGTAGTTTTTCTTCCACCTTCAGAGTCTTTATGTCCCAGGTTCCCATCTCAGACACAGACGCTGTTTCTAGTCTCTTGTGTTTCCTTTCGGAAATCTTGATGTTATGTTTACCCCATCTTACTTGGCCCCCCTTATTCTGCGCCTTGTGCTTTTCACTTCATGATACATTTCGGTTTCTGCTTCAGGAACATTCATTGATGCATCCCATTCTTATTTTTGGCTGTGATCTTACCTAATTAGTCCCCCTCTTGATGGCCTCTGAGGGTGTTTACCGTCTTTTGCTGTTAATACAGCAGAGAGATTCTCCCATGTGTTAATACATCTCTGCAGGCAGTTCTGTGGTTGAGTAAATTCTGGAAATTAGGCCAGGGGTTCTGTGCATCTGGAGCCCAGGAGTGGGCACCACAGAGCCTGTGAACCTCTTGGAGCTTTACGCAGAAAGATCCGTGTTTTTTGAGGAATCTAGGAAAATGGCACTGATGAATAGAGACACGAACGTAGAGAGCAGATTTGTGGACACAGCGGGGGAGGAGAGGGCGGGATGAGCCGGGAGAGCGGCACTGATGTGTGTACGTTGCCGGGTGTTAAATGGGCCGCTGGGGGGAAGCGCGTGTAGCCACTCGGTGCTCTGGGATGCCCGAGAGGGATGGGGCAGGGTGGGGAGGAGGCGCTCCGAGGGAGGGGATGTACGTGCACACGTGGCTGAGTCCCGCTGTCCAGCGGACACTAACACACATTGTAAAGCAGCTATGCTCCAATTTTAAAAAAAGGTATGCATTTTTGGAAGACAAAGGTCTATAACATCCATCACACTTCAGATGGATCCATGGGCTCCGTGTTTATCTAGAACCTGGGTTTCTTCGCCTCAGTAACCCCGTTCAGCTGCCAGTGAACTGACTTTCTGCCTTTTTCCTTTCTCATGAGCACTCTCCTTAGGCTACGTGCCAAGTCGCTTCAGTCATGTCCGACTCTTTGCGACCCCAAGGACCTTAGCACGCCAGTCCATGGGCTTCTCCAGGCAAGAACACTGGAGTGGATTGCCATGCCCTCTTCCAGGGGATCCTCCCAACCCAGGGATC